ATAATGCTGGTGGTTATGTACTGAAGAGTTGCAGCGCTGTGGTCTGTTGAGGTCTATTAGGTAGATCCCTGCTGGGCATGTCAAGAGTTGATTCCAACATTGACAGCAGAGCACCTGATAAGTGTCCTTATATAGTGTCCGGTACGAGCAAAAGAACCTCGACAGGGATGCAGCACAACACACTCAGGTAACATTTAGTTGGCTGCGGTAGTTGCAGTAACAAGCCAATATAAGTTTATCTAGTACAGATCATGGTGATTTTACTGTATCTTCTTACTAAGTTATTAAAGTATAAAAATGTTTCATAATTATTTATTAATTCATTGTGTTTGCATGGCCATGCAACACCATGCTCAGACAAAATCATTTTAATTTCTTGTCTTTCCTTTTCTAAACATACACAATCAAAAATATAATGGTCACTGTCATCTGTAATGTTGCAGTGAGTGCATAAGGTTGTATTATGACTGGCAAATCTTGATAGATATGTAGCAAATTTTCCATGGTCAGTAAAAAACTGTGATAACCAGTGGTATTTATAAATATCATTGATATTAGGAAAGAATTTATAGATTATTTTCTCCCTATTGCTGTTCCACTTGTTATGTTGTCTACAGCATCCATATTATAGTTTTTTCAAAAATCTCTAATGGATTGTTTATCTGCTCCATCTGTTTTATCAATCAGTTGTTGGAATGTCCACCGCAGATAATAAGCTTTAAAATTTGATATTACGCCTTGATCTATTGGTTGGATTAATGAAGTTGTATTTGGTGACAGGAAAACCACTTCTACTGGAATGCATGTTGTTAAGTCAGACAAATGCGTTGGGTGGCTTAAAGCATTATCGATCAAAAGTAGTGCTTTCAGTTCTAGTTTTTTAAATTCGCAGTAGCGTTTAACAGACGGGCAAAAATGTTCAGTAAACCAATTCTGGAAAATTTTCATAGTGATCCAAGATCTTTTACTGGATTCCCAAATTACTGGTAAAAATGATTTTGAAATTCCCCTCATTACTCTTGGGATTTTGGAATGATAAACAAGCAGTGGTTTTAATTTAAAGTCTCCATTAGTGTTACCACCCAGTAGAAGTGTTAAGTGATTTTTTGTAGCTTTAAATCCTAATGCTCGCTTTTCTTCACGGGATAAAAATGTATGTTTTGGCATTCTCTGCCAGAAAAGGCCCATTTCATCAACATTGAAAACTAATTCAGGAGGATAATTCCCTCATTCAATGATTGCTCTTAATTTTGCTGGAAATGCTGCAGCTGCTTTTGTATCTCCACTTGCCGCTCTCTAGTAACCTGTATGTTATGAAGATTGTTTTTGTTTTTAAATCGATTAAACCACCCACGACTAGCTACGAAATTTTCACTTGTGTCACCTTTTTAATTCTGAATATGGTTAAAAATTTTTCTCACTTTTTCCATTATAATTGCTTGACTTAATTGCATATTGCATTCAATTTCATCATCAATCCAGATGGAAAGTTGTTTTTCCATTTCCTCAAACACATTGCTTCTGGTATGGGTAATTTTTGTTGCTGAAGTCATTGTGGTTGTAGTTGCTGATGATATGATTTTTTCTTTATTTTTTAAAATTGTCCGTATTGTTGAAGTTGACAAATTTAATGTGGTGCCGATATCAGAGTGTCGTTCACATGCATCTAATTGTCTGAGCACCTGCATTTTAGTTTTCAGCGAAATGTTTTTTCTTCTCGCTTTACTCTCTTTTTCTTTGCAATCACCCATTGTAAAAACTAAAAACTGCCATATTTATCACAATAAAATAAAATAATATGTTTATATCTTTATACACACAATAAAGTTGATGACCGATCATAAATCAACTGTGACGTAGCAAACATGCGTTCGGGGAATCTCAACACTGCATGCGATCTCGGGGAATTCCAATACTACTGCGTAATACCGAAACAGCATTAAGCAGGGTCTTACTGTAGATTTTAATATCTATAATATCTATAGTATACAATGGAATTTGCTTATTATGATCACTTTGGGACTTGCAATTTTTGATAACAATAATTAGCTGATAATATTAAACAAAAACTAAAAATTTTCATTATTGAATAAGGATGCATCGATTAATCGGCCATATCAGCCATTTTCTTGATTAATTGGTATTGGCCATTTCCCCGATTAATCGGTTTTAATAATCAGCCAATTTTGCATTTTAATATTTTTGTTAGCATGTCACGTATAAGGCTAGTAATAAAAAATAATAAATTTCTGTTATATATTTATTATTTATTACATGACAATCTAAATATTAAAAAAAAATTTAACTTAAATTATTTCTTTTATCAATACATATCATAAGATATAATGTAACCTATTCAAAACAATCTGTTTTATTTAAAGTTTAAATATATAAAACAAATAAAAATTTAATATTCAAACTTTAAAACCCTNCTTTCTGCAGGCGGGAAAAAATTCACGGCTGTGCATGACTGTCCCCTCCACAACTCCACCGAAGGAGGCCTCTCTCGCATCATTTGTTTATGCGGAAAAAAATAAGGTCCGATACTTTTTGAACAGACCTTGTAATTCATAGTTCTGGAAGTGAAGATTGGACTGAGATATAGGTAGTTTAACTGGCCATGCATCTGCATAGCAGGCAGGAGTTGCAGGTTCAAATCCCACTTTGGGCTGATTTTTTTCTTTCAGAACCTTCTAAATTAATTATTAAATTTGTCAAGAGATGGTGCTAATGTATACCTCTAAGTCAAATTACTTGATATTTAATTAGCAATTAGCAGCATTAATATAACCTGATGTAATCTGGCATTAATTTTATATTTTTCTTTTTCTTATATTAGGAGAGTTGTAACTGCTACTTATCATCCTACAGAACAGGTAAGGAAACATTGATAGAATTGTGTATGTAAACTTTAAATATTGATAATTATAAGCACTGGATTTGGCAGACACCTATATTTAGCAGATAAAATATCTATTAATATGATTGTTGATATATTTTTTTCTTGATTAAGCAAACACAACCTTCTGTGGACAACAGATAAAAATTTCCTAATTTTCCTATTCTCCAAAACTTCTCTTAATTAAACAGACAATACAATGATTACATGTTTTCTATAAATGTAATTTAAAAATACTATTCTAATCTTTAATACCATCTTTCTGTGGCAATTCTTTGTATCAGACTTTTCAACTGAGATTTTCACAGTTATATTTTTAGACAGTACTCTGACACATCTCACATCAAACATTAGTAGACTGACACTGGAATTTCTTCTTTTCATTATGCAAGTAGGGAATTAACCCTAGGTATAATAAATACAGTATAAAGAAGTAAGTTATTGAAAGTTATGTTTTCATTGCAAGTTTTATTTATATACTGTATAAAAAAACTTTTTTTTAATTTAACTGAAAGTTATTTGTATAGTAGAAATGTAAATAACATATAGATATCTTTCATATAGCGTGGTAGTTACATTCCAAAAAAGCGTCCTGCTATACGAAACAAAGGACTAGTGCGAAACATAGGGTTAGGTTCCAAAAGTTAACAAAAGTATACTATTCCTTTTTGTTACTAATAGAAATATGAGTATTAAAGCAATCAATAATTAACTAACAATCATAATTAAAAGTACTGTATCATGCATTAATAATAATTTTAGTTAAATAAAAGCATTTTATTTTTACAAAGTATCATGATCTTCTAAGCATATTTATTGATCTAGATCAGAGATATCAGCAACATTATCACTTTTTTATTTTATCATACTGATTTTTTATGGATGACAAAATAAAAATATATTATTAATCAAAACTTTGTTCTAGCAGGTCATGTTTGTTCAGTCAAGTACCAAGTGATTTTTTTCCAGAATTTGTGTTCAAGTACTGAATTGTTTGAGTTGAAAGAGTTTGAATACTGAGATACCATTGTATTTCATTTGCCGTTTTTACAAATGATTACTTACCTATGGCTGAAAAAGTTTAATAACTCCTACCTAAAAATGTTTAAACTACTCAATACAAAGATTAATCTATAAAAACAAAACACAGTGACAGGTCTTAAAGGCTAAAGTCTGAAAGCAACGACAATGACACCTGATTGATAGGAAAGCTAGGACAATGAAGAAAAAAATTGCACTACCAGTTTTCATTTAAGAAAATCTGATGAAAGGCTCAAAACAAATTGAAAATTTCAATAGTCTAAAATCCACGAGCCAATTTGAGACAACATGCATGCTTACTTGAATAAAATATCAAATAAAGGAGTATGCACTGAAAAACTGTGAAATTTTGTATGGAAAGTTTCCCAATTTCTTGAACTGTGTTGTATGGGAGATTTCCCCAATTTTTGAACTGTATTAGAGTGAAACTATGTTGTAGAAATTCTGTGTTATACAAGGGATATCTGTACAAGTACCACTTGCTAATTTTTTTGTTTTTCTTTCATAGTTAGACTAAATTTATATGCTGTTTTTAAACTGTGAAGAATTTATCTAATGAGATCATTTTAATTTAGATGTGTAATAAGACTTATTTATATTTTTTTTTCATCAGAAAAGACAAATTTCTTATTTTAATTTTTTGTCAAACTTGAATCAGTAAATCATGATCACATTGTATTTTTTTAAAATTTATTTTAATGTTTTGATAATTAATGCACACTGTTTTTTTAGTAACAACTGCAAATAATTTTTATATAAAAAATATTTTAAGTAAAAATTTTAAAACAAATGTTAATTATTTTAACTGTAATAACTTTGTTTAATGTAAGAAAGTTTATTTTGAACTACTTTAATGCTTTCCCTACCTCCTCACACCCTCAGTTTGAGAGCAGTTTTGATTTTTTATTTCTGCTCTGTGGTCACTAAGAGAATCTTCTTACAAGTTAGTGACAACAATAAGCATATTATATAATAGCAATATTTACTTTAGTAATAATTCATTACTATGCATTATCATTAATTCTATTTCAAATTTATCATAAGCAAATGAAAAGTTTACCCATATATCAATTTCAGGTCCAATATACTTTTTTCCTTCAAAAACTTCTGGTGCAGCATATGGTGGACTGCCACACCATGTAGTTAGTTGACTTCTTGTAGAATAGAAATTACTAAATCCAAAATCTGAAATGAAAATAATAATCCATACTTTAATATATAAAATATTAATATAATTAAATACTTCTCAAAAGTGTTGCATTTATTATAAGTGAATTCTTCAACAGTTTTATAGATTTATGCAAGTATGAAACTCTTATACCAGAAAACTTTTTAAAGTTGAAATTATATGTACAGTATTTAAAGTTCAATGTAAATTTTAAAATACTCATAAATATTATGAATATTGAGTCAAAGATTGTTTAGTTAGCGTATAAGTTTTAAAGCAATGTTTTTAATTTTTCTTAAATTATAATAGTTTTGAAATTTCTGTTAAAGTATTATTATTGTAATTCCTCATAAATAAACTTATTTATTTGTCCAGATTTCTGATAAAAGAAATAATGTTTTAATACAAAAAGTTGAAATCACTATACAGGTATACCTCGCCTTACGTGGTTCCAGGAGAGGCGACTTAAGTCGAAAAACAATGTAAGTCGAATTTACTTGTCTCCAAATTTACTTGTCACTAGGCTAAACCACAAATAACCATTTCCAGTTCTGTATTTTATTTATAAATGCATTTTTAATAATATATTGTTAATAAGAATCTATTTTAAGCTTACGAACAAATAAATTTTAGTTTTTAATATAGTACAGGAAAAAGTAATCTAAATTTATGAATTCATGTACGTACAGTGTAGTACATACTTGTAAATGTACAGTACATGTTTACAATTTGGTGATGTTTACAGTACATCGCGGACTCTCTATTTGTGAATGTGGTTTGTTCTAAGACATTATAAAATAAGATGATTTTGTAAGGTTAAATAATAAATACAGTTATTAAAATTATCTTGCGACAGTAGAAAATAAACTAATTTATATTAAATTTACCAATATCAAGTGGTGCTGACAACGACACCAAATGGTAGATATTGGAACTACTGTGGAAAATACGAATATTGAGCACTGAAACACAGATGTTGAAAGAGCCTACACGGCTAACATCTCCATATTAAACTGTTAAGAAGAAGAAGAACACAGATGTTTTCATGTTTTGTTCTCTAGGATTTATGATGATTATATATTAACAATTACTGTAAATGTACATATTTTAATATGATTTTATGTGCTTTAACGCTTTTCTAGTGATATTACGACTTCAATATTTTGTGGCAGACAAATGTAGTCGAATAAAATGACTTAAACTTGATTTTTATTTTTCCATATATTTTTTGATAAATGACATATAATCAAGAACGACGTAACTCAAGGTATACCTGTATAAGGAAAAATGGCAATAGTTGCATACTGAATTCATTTAAATAATATTTATTTGAAGTTTTTGTAATATAGTGGGTGATCGGTTAACGAACATAATCCTTTCCAAAACTTTGTTCGCTATCCAAATTGTTAGTTAACCAATTATCAATTTACCATAGGTTTTTATGGGAATTTGATTAATTCATTCTGGAGACCCCAAAAAATAAAAAAATATATACTTTCTTACTACGTTTATTTATATGTAATAATAAAAATACATATATACACAGTATTGCATTTTTATTAGTCATGTTTTTCCATTTGTGGGGGTAATCCTCTTTTTCAGAAGAAAACATATCTCACCAAGTTTCTTGGTGTTCTTCATTCAAGAGTTCTTGGTGTTCTTCTGTCATCAGATCAGTTTCAGGTTCCATTATGAGCTCTTCAATGTTCTTTATTTTTCAGATGTGATTTTTGTTACTCCTTTAGCTGCTTGAGTCTTCTTGATTACATTGTATCTTTCTTAGATAAAATTGAACTGTGGTCTACTGTAGACCTGTTCAAGCCATGCTGCCCATCAACATCTTCTGCCCACTCTCTATCTTTGCTATTATACTCTCACCTTTTGAAAATTAAAAACCGATATAAAACTTAATGAATGCCCGCCTGACAGTCTTGTGAATACTATAAAAAAAATTGTTTATCAGAAAAATAAAAGGCTGGAATTATAAGGAAGAGTTCAAAGTTCAGAGGAATAATATCCAATCAATATATACGGGTTGAGTGTCGATGTCGATGTCTCCCATGCTCCAAAAAGTTTTGGATTGTTGCCTGAAGACAAGAAAAGACCAATCGATATTCATTATTTTACGTTGCTTTTTCTTGTCTTTGTTTTGTGAGGTGTTCGTTGTCCGAACATAAAAAATCTCTCGCAAAAGTATTCATTATTATCCGTAGTCCGAACTGTTTGTTAACCGATCACCCACTGTATAATTTCTATATTAATAGCTCTAACAAATACAGTTGTCCCTTGATAATCCGACAGGTGTGGGACCAAAGGTGTGTCAGATTACCAAAAGTGTCCGGATTACTGAAAATAATTACATATTTCGCATTGTTTTGCTAGCAGTAACTTACAATATTCTCTACTCCAACTGTTCGAACAGAACTGCTCACATAAAACACACGAAATGTGTGTCATCGAGTAAGAATTGGATGGGGAGATTCACATCGCGACATGCTTCTGTGCAAGCAGACA